AAAGGAGTTGTCCTGGCTGTGGTTTATGGTTCCATTGTCATCGGATGAAAAAGTTGTGAGATAGCAGCGAAATCAATTCTGACCATGTTGACTAACGTCGAACAGGTTCCATGGTTCTATCCATTCTTTTTATTTCTAGGGTAGTTCATCCCAAGTTCATTTAGTCTTGTCTTACTTGAGGACAAGTAAGGTTTAAGCTTGGGGTGATTTGATAGCTTCATTTTATTTACTTATTTTTATAGTTTATTTTAGTACATTTCATTCGCATTTTAGTTAACTTTCATGCATATTTTCCCTTTTGTTATTTTTATGACCATTTCGGGGTACTTTCTAGTTTCTTGAGCATTATTGCAGATTTTCTTGGAAACTAGCGGGGCGGCACTCTTGCGAGGCGATTGGGCTTGAAGGGAATTGGAGATTTCATGCTTGATGGCTATGAAGGTGATTCATGGGGTGGACTTGTCAATTGCTTGAAGGCTTGGAAGAATTGAGCTTTAAATTTGAAAGATGCGGGGGAACATTCAAGCGTATGAAAATTATTAATCGGGCGAGTTCACGAGCTTTGGAGGATTTAGAGAGGTCAAATTGGGCTTTAAATGAAGAAAAACTTGAAGAAAATGGGCTAGGAGGTGATTGGATTCGATCTGGGCTAGTGGGATATGCTTTAGAGGCCCAAAATCTCAAAGGAGCCCATGTCAGGTACCACCCGCGCAACCCACCCGCGCAGCAGCACGCGGGTCGCGCAAGGCCCTGCAGGGGCAATTTCGGAAATCCTTCTTTTGAGCTATTTGAGGAAGGTTGGTGCCCATCTTTTGCATACACTTGCACATCCGATTTTTGAAGATTCTCTCTGGAGTTTTGGAGACTTTTGAAGGCCAAGAACCCTTGAAGAACATCATATTTTTACCTCTTGATTCTTGCTTAATGTTTGGTACAAATTTCTCTAACTTTGTTTCTTTGTGTTTAGCCATGCTTGGCTAAACTAATCTTGGTTGACTTTTGTTAATCCTTTGAACTTTTGTTGAATGTTGAAGAATCCATGAACATGTTCTTGAATCTTTATGGAAATGTTTTGTGTTTTAACATCTTATCATTACTTGTATGTTTTAGTTCATGAGTTTAAATGTGTTTGTGGTGATTAGTTGGCTAATTTCTTGATTAAGTAAAGGATCCTCAAATTAGCAAGCAACAAATGATTTTTGTGTTGTTTTTACTTCACACAATCATAAAAACATTTCCTCCAACATGGTGGTGAAAGCATTTGACCCCTCTTGGATTTGGTGACTTTTTGGTTCTTAATGCTAGTTGACTTTCACTAATTACATGCTATTTGGAATTAGTGACTTTGACTAAGGAAATTGTTATGAGCTTCTCTAGCCATTTCAACAATTAAGAAAAGTCTAGGTAATCTCAAGCTCCTTGGATTACTATAGCCAAATTGAGGATTTAAAACAAGTATTGCACCATTGAATTCTAATGATATGTTCATCAAAAGTCAAAGTGAGAAAACTTTAAGTCAACCATCTTTCCCTTATTGATTTTACATCAAATTCTTATTTTTGTTGCAATTGTCTATTTAAATCGTAGTTAATTCTAGTTAGCTTCAAGTATTTCAAAACACCAAAACCCCCATTTTATTTTTATTGTTATTTTACAAGTATTTTTACAAAGAGATTTTTCATAGAGTTAGAAATTGAACCAATCTCCGTGGATTCGATCCCTTTACCACTATACACTATTTTAGTGTGTAACATTTAGGGTTATTATTTGTGTTGGCCTCGACAACCACCATTGACCTTGACCGTTAACTTTGACCTTGACCAAGGGTTGACTAGTTTGACTTTTGAGAGTAATTGGTAAGCGAATATTTATGAATTGAATCATTGGTGGTTATAGGTGTTGGAGTTTGGGGCAGTGTTTTGGGAGTGTGATTTTGTGGTTCAGTCCGACATTGCAAGGTGAGTTATCCTCACTATACTCAAGGGTCTAAGGCACCAAGGCCGACCCTTTGGATTGTTATTTGGTTATGTTATGATAGTATGATCTGTTAGATCGGTATCCTAGAGGGTAGGATAATATTATGTGGTATGTGGTATGATCTGTTAGATCGGTATCCTAGAGGGTAGGATAATATTATGTAGTATGTGGTATGACTTGTTAAATCGGTATTCTAGAGGGTAGGATAATATTATGTAGTATGTGGTATGATATGTTAGATCGGTATCCTGGTAGATAGGATGGTATTATGTGCTATGTTGTATGATCCGTTAGATCAGCTGTTGTCTGTAGACTATTATGTGATTATCTGTTATATATATGTGCACATGTTTGTTGGGCGATTAAGGCTTATCTGCTTTGTGCGGAGGCCAATAGACCCGAGCATTCCAACCTGTTGGTTATGGGTCGTGAGTATTCCATCCCGTGGATGATTGGACTCATAGTATGTGGGCATTCCAACCTGTTGATTGTGGGCCTGGGGTATTCCATCCCGAGGATGATTGGACCCATAGTATGTTGGCATTCCAACCTGTTGGTTGTGGGCATGGGTTATTCCTACCCGATGGTTGATTGGACCCATAGTATGTTGTTTATGATTATATGTGTAGTGTTGTGGGTATGGGTATTTTGGGGGTAAATCACTAAGCTTCCAGGCTTACAATTTCAGTTTATTGTTTCAGGTTCAACGGATGGCCGCGGGAAGGCGAAGGTTTGACCGTACACTTCCTCGATCAATGATTATGATTTCTGGGAACTTTGATGTTTAAATTACTTTGAAAACTAATTGTAATAATTGAATGGTTTTAAATGATTTAAAAGTTTTAAATTGGCTCGAATTTTATGGGTGTTACAAAGATGGACTAAGGTGTCAGACTGGACCAGATTTCGAGAGTACTCTTCAAGATTTCAAAGGATGGGCGATCTTAAGGTTTGACTGGTAATTGATTGTTATCATTGGTAAGCTTAGATTGTCGGTAGTGGACTATTAGGAAGTAAGAAGGATTAGGAATCCTTCAATTCTCACATACCGTGAAGACTTAGTCGAATCTAAGTGGGGGAGAGACTTTTTGTAAAGTTCTCCAAATATGAGTTCTGGTTGCACGAGGTGCAATCTCTTAGGCACCATGTAAACCAGAAGGGTATACTGGTCGATCCGGCCAAGATAGAGGCCGAGATGCACTGGGAGATTCCGAGTTCTCCAATTGAGAATCCGAGTTTCCTGGGTCTAGCGAGTTATTACCAGAGATTTATGTAGGACTTCTCCGAGATTGCGACCCCTTTGACCCGACTGACCAAGAAGTCGGTGGCCTTTCGCCGGGGGCAGAGCAGCAGGCAGCCTTCGAGACTCTCAGACAATAGGTTTTAGGAACCAGGTTAGAGCTCCAATTAGGACTCAAGTTCAGTTGTGTGTTAGGTCGAGTGCATGCTCGACCGATATGGAAAGTGTTGTAAGACTGCGGGGGTAGCGGTAGCATTCACTAGCGATCAGGTAGTATGGAAAGTGTTGTAAGACTGCGGGGGTAGCGGTAGCATTCACTAGCGATCAGGTAGTATGGAAAGTGTTGTAAGACTGCGGGGGTAGCCGTAGCATTCACTAACATTCAGGTAGTGTGGGAAGTGTTGTAGGTCTACGTGTGTAGCCGTAGTATATGATCAAAATTGGAATCGTTTAACATCAGGCGGAAAAATCAACTTCATGGAGAATAAAATCACCCCCCAATCAACGTCAACATTCCAAAATTACCAAAGATTGTAGCAACTTTTTGCCAAATAAGAGGTTTCACTATGTTCTTCCCTTTTATACACTATGGCTAAAATCAAAATAAAATCACACAAATTTATGATATTTTGTGTGGTTTCTACTTTCAGGAGGCAACATATGAAGAGTAGCACCTTGACTTTGATACGAGTAACACCTCTGCAACAAAAAAAGTAATTATATGTTTCGGGAATGAAAAAAAATATACAAAATAAAAGAAAACTTTAAAAACGTTGTAAGGTATAAAAACATAAAAACATATATTTTATATGTATTTATTATATTTATGTGTGTTTTTTTTATATATAAATATGTTTTTAAACGTATAAATATGCATTTTAAAAGTATTTATACATGTGTTTGTTTAATAATAATACTAAAAATGAATTTTAAAAATACTTTATTTAATTTCGTTTTTAATAATAATAATAATAATAATAATAATTATTATTATTATTATTATTATTATTATTATTATTATTATTATTATTATTATTGTATTTAAATCTACAACGTTATATTCATTAAATATAGACATAAAAGCGAATAGACATTGTATGTGAGCGTTAAGGACAAAAAAACATCAAAACATTCTAATTCAATTGGGAGAAGTCATGTTTTGGGAGAAAAACGACGTGAGTTCAAGACTCATCCGCCACAAAATCTTATTTTTTAAGGGTACAATGACATAGACGGATGACCGGCTAATAAGTAAAATTTTCCTATTTTGTGCTTTTTTATTAAAAAAAAATTAGGATTGTTTTAAATTTTTTTCCCAAAATGTTGGAACTTTACTATAGAAAACCCTTTATTTTCCAACAAAAGTATATAACATTTTATTACAAGTAGCCTTTATTATACATGACTATGTTCAATTTACATTCAAAAACAATTTTGTTATCACAAATGATTTCATGTTCAATTAGAGCAGTGATTTTTAGTGATCGTTAATGAAATTAAAATTAAAAATAATATAGATCTCAAATAATCAACTAAAGTATTTCTTCATTTGCCATCTAAAAGGTAATATTTGGTTAGATTTCCGTATAACTTTTTAAAAAATGTTTGAAGGGTTCAAACTAAGTGCCATATTTCATTAAAAACAACTTCCGAACTCATGATTAATTAAGGGTTGTGATTACTTTTAGTCTCTATATAAGTATAAGAGACTATTTTCAAAGCATTGAGTCAAGTTATATATATAAACACATGGGCAATATATAGGTAGTTTGGAAAGACGAATTTGAAGAATGGGTTCCCTTGGTATGGTGTTTATTGTTACAATTTGCTTAGTAATGGGTCCATGGAGTAGGACAATGGTTGCAGGTAAGTTGTGTCTTGGCCCAGCAGTGGCTCTCGCATTTACACCATGTTTGCCCTACTTTGACCATAAGGAAGAAAGGCCATCGAAAGCATGTTGTAAAGGATACGATGGAGTACAAGCGAGAACAAAAACCAAGGCAGATCGTGTGGCTACATGTAGTTGCTTACAAGCGTTGTTGCAGAATCACGACATAAGGCATTTCCATTTTATCAGAGGCTTGTGTAGTTTTGACTTCTCGAAAGGACTAGGAATCCCTGATGTTGGACCAACTGCCGATTGCTCAAAGTAATTTTCTCATTCTAAACTAATTAATCTTTCAAGTTTATTTAATATCATCATGCATATGGGTGATATCTTTAAACAACTCAAATGTTTTTTTATTTAATTTGAAACGTCTAAAATTAAAACTAGTTAATTTACATGCATGTGTTATGTATATGATATATTGATATATATTACTAACACCATATGTGTGTATAATGCAGAAATCCATAGGTATGGAGAGGTTTCGGGCATCAAGATGGATTTATTAAGAAATTTTTTATAGTAATCAAACTTTGAATTTTAATCAATAATATTTATTATTTACAGTTTCATGTAATGAGAAATTTATAATTTTTACATTTTTCTAGCTTGTTTAATTATTGGTGGTTGGTGAGTTTTTTTATTTTTTATTTTTTTTATTTTGAACTTATTTGGTTCCAAATTAGATCTTATTTTTATTAAAAAACTAAATAAACCAAAAAAATTGTATTTTTTTCTCTAAAAATAAAGACCAAATAAGATTGTACTTTAAATCTGTAACATAAGAAACATTAGAAAATTCAACAGAGTTGTATTTGATGGTGTCATGTCCTTTGCTAAATCCTTTGGTGTTGTCACCGAGGGAAACATTGGTACCATCTTCTTTGACAAAGTCATCATGATCTGACTTGGAATCCTGTCACGTATCTTGAACCTCCACTGTCAAGATACCAAATATGCTTATGTCCCTGACACTACAACAACATAGTAGTTTTTCCTTTTAACCCATTTTGAAATGGGTTTGGTTATGGAAGATTTGAGAGACAGAAGGATATTATAGCAATCTAAAGGAAGATAATCTAAAGAGTTTTCTTTCTTGATCAATTTCCCACATCTGAGCATTATATTGTCACTTCTCTTAGACCCTTTTTCATGAGGACCATTATGAGCTTCATGACTTATGTTACCAAATTTATAACATTTTCTAGTCCCTGTCTTTTCTTTTAGATTTTGACAATTATGTTTTAATATTTTTATATTTATGTTTCTAAAATTGTTTGATTTTAAGAGAACTAGATATGGAGGGACATCACGGTTCTTACGGAGATAATGGTTTTAAAAATAATTACCAGTATCAAATAAGAGGTTGGAAATTTAATAACCTTTTCCCCATCAACCTTAAAATATTCTTGAAAAATACTTTTCACTGATGGATCAATAGAGTAAATGCATTTTTTTTTTAGAACATGTCAGTTTTATAATTTTTTTTAACATGATTTAGAACATTATCATTAACAGGTTTAACAAAGTAAGTTCTTATGTCATTGAATTGGTTCATAAATGGTTCAAAATTTAGGTTCATCATTGATTTGTTTTGAAAAGTCAATAGCTTCTTGAAAACTTTCTCCAATGATTTTAAGAGTCTGGGATGAGATTTGACTATTAACAATTTGTGTGAATCTTGAATGAGAAGTAGTCCAATTCTTGATGATTTTCTTTATGTTTTCAAATTGTAAAACAACCTCATACTTTTCTTCGAAATAAACTAGATTAAAGAAATTATGATTCATGAGCTCATTTTTAAGATTTGCTAATTCACGATTTTTTGATTTAATTTCTTTTAAAAACTTGATGTTTTTCTTTTGAAGGTTAAGCTTTTCTTGATGAGATTTTCCAAGATCAAGGAAAAGATACTTAAAATTAAAGATTTTTCATTATCTAAGTAACTTACAAAATTTTCTACCTGAAAGAGGGAGGAGGGATCCCAATCTCCAGACTTCCTTATAGCTTGATCAAGATCTGCTTGAAATAAACTTGGATTATTTATTTCTGTAACATCCAAAAAATAAGACCCAAAAATTTCATTTTTGATTCAATAAAACATTAATTCAAACATTTGTCATACAACCCCAAAAGATCAAAGTATATCACTACATCAAAACATAAACTAAAAGATGGTGTATGCTCTGCAATCATCATGGACTTTTCCCATTTGATCCTTAAGTACCTAAAACAAAAACTAAAAACCGTAAGCACAAAACTTAGTGGGTTCCTCAAAATACCACATATCATACATGAACAAACACATAATGGGCCCCACCCACACTCGCATAATGGGCCCTACCCACTGAGTATAACGGGCCCGCCCAACATACAAATCATATAAGCATATACACATACAAGAGTCACACAAACATCTAGTATCCTCGCATAACTGATCATGGGCCGACATCGGTGCCTTAGAGCTCAAAAGAGCTTAGTAAATGACTTAACACATGCATGAGACCACAAATGCCATAAAGCTTGCATTTTTATGGACAAAGGGACCTAAAGGACCCTAGATCTACCATCAAGCACTTCTGGAGTGAATCAAGAGGCCCAACAACCTAACCATGGACTCAAAAAGTACAAAAATGACACCAAACTAGATCTAGCAACATGTATTAGCAAGTTGGAAGCTTTTTACCTTACAAGGGAAGCAAATGAAGAACAAATCTCAGATCTTCAAGCTCCAAGCACAACTCCAAGTGGTTCACTTCTTCTCCTTCATAAGCACCCAAAAATCACATTTTAAGGCTCAAACTCTCAAGATCTAACTTAGGGTTTGATTTTCTGGACAAGAGGGGATGGAGGTTGTCTAAACATAACCTAGTGAGGCTATCACAAGATTTAAATAGGGCGCAACACCCAAAAAGTAGGGTTTCATTAATCTATGCGTACGCCGTGCGTACTCAACGTATGCTGGGCGTACGTGGTCCAAGGTCGCGATCCAAATTCGGGCTAGTACGTTAAGCATACCACCGTGTACGCCCCACGTACTAGCCCAAGGACCAAAATACAATACTTTTAATAAGGAGGGATTACATAAGAAACTTACAAATTTTCCAAGTGTTACACTTTTACTGATCATATTAACTTTAGCCATCAAACACATATTGTCTTTGTCAACCTTTCCTTCATCAGTAGAAAGATCTTCTACTTCCCACTTCTCTTTTTTTTGCCAACAACGTACTTGATCCAAGATTCTGCTTGTTTAAACTAGCAACCAATCATTTATACTTCACTTCATACGATTTATTCTTGTCATCAGTTGACATGAACTTGCAGTCTTTAACAAAGTGTATAAAACTTCCACATTTAAAGTAGCCATTAGAGGATAGGTTATAGTTATTCCTAGGTTTGAACTTCCTTGAGTTCCTTAAGCCTTTGAATTGTTTGGCAATCAAGACAGCCTAGGCAATGAGTTTAACTATCCGCTGAAATTCATAGTCTTCTTTTGTGTCTTCCCCTGGTGAGATCTCTTCATCATCGTTGATGTCATCAACTATCTTAGATTATTTGGACATGAGAGTAACAGATTTTTCAATCTTAATATCTTTCATCTCCTTGATGTTTTCCATTCTCTTATACAATCACTTCCTTATCTATAAGTTAAGTATATGATCAAAATTGGAATCATTTAACATTAGACGGAAAAATCAACTTCATGGAGAATAAAATCATCCCCCAATCAACGTCAACATTCCAAACTTACAAAAGATTGTAGCAACTTTGTGCCAAATAAGAGGTTCATTGACGTTCTTCGCTTTTATACACCAGGGTTAGAATCAAAATAAAATCACACAAATTTCTAATATGCTATGCGGTTTCTACTTTCTGGAGGCAACATCTGAAGAGTAGCACCTTGACATAGATAGCAGTAACACCTCTGCAACATGAATTTGTCTACACTTCTAGGAAGATTTTGAGGGATATCCTACCCCTGGCTATTAACTAGTTCCGCTGTTGTGTACTTATATAATTATCAAATCCAATATGAACTTCTTTCAGGAACACTTTAGCATTGCTAAACTAGGTTGCATATTAATGTCAAGTGTATATATTTTAATGACAAACAAGTGACAGATAAGGTCAATGTTTTAAATGACGTGAGGCATGGTCTTGACGGCAAGGTCAAGCCTAGGTGATAGCAAGTCATGACATTTTTCAAGACGTAACAATTGTATATACATTTAAAAAAAATCATAGAATTACAGATTAACATATTATTTGGGTGTCATGCTACACCACGCCTCATGTGGAGCGCCTTTTAGAACGATACGTTTCACCACCAAAAGATAAAATAAAAGGGGATTTTATTGGCACTCGAAAAACCTTAAAACACTTTGAAAACCTTGATATGAGCCGTGAACATATGACAAATGATCGCATCACTCTTCCAAAATGATCGAAAATGAATTCTTTTACAATTTTAATTCTTCTCCTTTTAGTTTACTATAATTACAAAATCAATCCTTCACAATTTCGTAGTTAATATTTTTAATTCTTTTTCTTTTACTTTATTTATTGTAACTAGTAATGAGGCCCATGCTCCACACAGGTCAGGAGGCTATTACTGGTAAAAAAATTAATGTATGTTGCCATTATGAGTAGAGAAATGAAAGTAGATTGCTAGTATCAACTCAATAGCTTATTATATGAAAACTCATTCCATTCCTTAAGGTAACACTAATTCCATCACCTTGTTTTTTCTATTACCCTGTCCATTCCATTCCACTCTCATCCCATTGCATTCCTTCAAAACCAACAAACCCTAATCTTAAGCTGATAAGCCATTGAATGAAGACAATCAATAACATATCTAAAAGCAAGTTACAAAATTATAGAATTGGGGATCTGTAATCACAAAATGAATTGTCTTTTTCAAAAAAAAAAAAAAAAGTAAAACAATGTTACCTAAGTCTAAATGCTTCATCAGTTGACAGCTCAATAGTACCAGTCTATACAAATGAAAAAGTGTTCATGTTTCTAAATAATAGAAAGTTTTTTGAAAAGTGTTTTTCATTTATGAGTGACCTGAGGTAGATTTATTAGGACATTAAATTGGTCCAACATAAATATAAGCATATTGGATACACGGTCAAAAATGGAAATGAAAAACAAAACAAACAAACTGCTCTGAAAAAAAAATCACTTTTTCTTAGGCTAACTTTAAAATTAAAATGAGCTATACAGGAAAATTCATTTTCAGAAATGTTCGAATTAGCTCTACTGGGAGCTCAGTTCCTAACAAAAAAACATCATTATGAAAGTATATTTAACCTAGGTTAAATATACTTTGATTTGATATGATGTCTACGATGATTTTACATCATAAAATGGTAAACAATTGGCATAGATTTTAACAATTTTAGAGACTTACAGCATCTCACCTTATTGCATCCATCGCCTTAATAGTTGTAGCTGAAAACTTCTATTCATAATATTGTTCCTTCCACTCGGGGGCGGCTAATTTAATCTGGCAAAAAACAGAAATGAAATTACTTATATACCCTTATATTATCTCAATAATCAGTTTCTAGTGTTTGTTCCCAAGTGCCTAAAATGGTTATGTAGTTACTAAAACCACCCAACTTCCAATAAAGTAAATTCGTTTAAGCTAAAAATTCTATTGGCAAGTGAAAAGATTAAAAGTAGACATAGATGTGGTGACCATGGACGCTATTGATTGGTGGTCAATTACTCCAGAACTTGCTGCTATAGCAACGAAAGTTTAATCGCAGCCTATTAGTAGCTCGTCAGAGAGAAATTAGAGTACATATGCTTACATACATAATGTCAAGAGAAATAGATTGAACTCCAAAAGGACTGATAAATTTGTGTTTATACATTCGAATATTCATCTCCAACTGAGAGATTCTCTGATAGTTACACAGCCGGGCCACACAAGAAGTGGGACGTAAATCCCGAAAGCACTAACTTGGAAAGGAAAGAATAAACTTGGTGAACTTTTGACATGAATTATGAAGTTATTCTGTTTTAAACTTTGAAGTTATTTTAGCTTTGTGTTTTGTACTTTTGTAAGTTTATCATTTGTGTTATGCCATGAACCGGTATTGATCTTTTGGTATTGAACTTTTGAAGTATGAATTGAAGTTAGGGAAGGAATTGGTGTTTAAATATACTTTTTATATTTATAGTATTATATATTTTGCTAATATATGGTATATCGTACCACATTACATGGTACACCATTCCACATACTGAAATAGCATTCCAAAGAAGACTACCCACCTCGTACCGAATTTTTCAAATAATGTTTGATGTCTCAATGTTGTAATAGAACTGAAAGTGAGTCCAATTCTAAACAATGAGGTGATTTCTAAAAAATGTCATTAGCTAATAATATGAAAATTGATAATAGAATATTACAATTGAAAGATTTTTCAAAGTAAAATGCATAGATACAAAAAAAAAAAAAGTTTGATGTTTTAAAGTTACAACAAAAATAAACTGATAACAAAATGCTAAAAATGGTATAATTTTCAAAGTACAATGCATAGATGAGAAAAAAGAAGTTTCTACTTTAAATGGTGTTACCAAAAAGACAAGTGGAAGTAAAATGCTAAAAATAAGAAAACCAAAATTTAACATTGTCCTTATATGTAACATGACGACTAAATTTATCTTATACTTTTTATATGAAGTATTTAACATCAAAATAGAAGAATCATACTTCTCTTGTCTAATTATTTTAATGATGACACCCAAGGCTTACATAATCCTCGGCTTACCAAAAATCTTAAGTTTATGATCCATTCATACCCTTCAAATCCTCAATCCTTGACTTCCAGCTAAAATCACTTTCTGATTTATTCATACACTTAACATTCTAAATTCCTTCTTTTCCTCAACCCATAAATTATCATTATCCTAAATCATTACAAAATAAAGTCTAAAACTAACACCTATTATGCATACTTACAATACAACTCTAAAAATAAGACGATTTTAAAAAAAAATACAATGCAGTAATAATATGAAATCAGAAAGTAGGATGCTATATTTAGAAAACCTTTCAAAGTAAAATGCATAGATGAGCAAAAGTTGAGTTCATGTTTCAATGTTATCATAGAAAGACAAGCGATAGTAAAATGCTAAAAATGATATGATTTTTTTTCAAGTGTCCCTTTATGTATCATGCATTATCATTCATACCTAAAGTGATCATTATATCTCATGTCATTATGAATAAATCTAGATCATACTTTTTCTATGAAGTATCTAACATCAAAGTAGAAGAGTCATACTTTTGTTGTCTAATTATGACACCCACAGCTTACATAATCCTTGACTTAATCAATAATCTTATTATTCATTCATATCCTTCAAATCCTCAATCCTTGACTACCTGCTAAGATCACTTTATGATTTATTCATACACTTAACATTCTGAATTTCTTCTTTTTCTTAATCCATATATCATCATATGTCCATAATTCTCTATATTCCTTAGATCATTACTAGATCAAGTCATTCATTTAACACACATTATCAATATTTAACCTTATCATACTAATCATATCCCCAAAGTACATATACATATACGTTGCTTTTATATTCAAAAAGTACTTATTAGTACAAAGATCCAATCCTGTTGTCATTAACCCGTCTGCAAAGTTAGAAGATAATCATGAGATCCTTAAAACATTAGTAATTTCACATGTAAAACATATTTAATCTTTCTGGTCATCATTCCAATCCTAATGTATTCCTACTATAAGGTTATGCTTAATATCCTTACACAAAAAAGTCCACTCGTATAAAAATTTCTAAATATATATTTTTTGTCCATTCATTCTAAGCATCCCTTTAATTGGTTCATGTTCCTTTGAAAATAACAATGCATAGATGAGAAAAAAGATGTTTGGTGTTTCAATGTTGTAACAGAAAGAAAAATTTAAGTACAATGCTAAAAATGAGATAATTTTTAAAAATGCAATTTGCTACAAATAGTAAGATTTCTTAACGTTTAATTTTATAATGTTGAAAAAGAAAGAAAATTGAAAATAAAATGATAATAGAGAGATGAATTTAGAAAATACAAAGTTCTAATAAAAAGAAAACTGATAATGGAATGCTATATCTAGAAGATTTTCCATAGTAAAATACAAAGATGAGAAACAAAAGTTTAGTGTTTCAATATTGTCATGGAAAGAAAAGTGAAAGTGCAATGCTAAAAATAGGAAGATCCAATCTGTACGCATTATATATTTCAAAATGCAATGTGTTAATAATACGAAAACTTAAATTGGAATGCTATAGTTCAACATATTCCTAGATCAATACCAAATAAAGTCTAAAATTAACACCTATTGTCCATACTTAACCTTATCATACTAACCATATCCTCAAAGCACATATACATATATAATGCGTGCATATTCAAATGGTACTTATTAGTACAAAGATCCAATCTTGTTGTAATACATATATCATCTTTCTTTTCATAATTCCAATCCTATTTTTTTTTTAAAATTGAGAATAAAGTGCTAAAAATGTGATGATTTTTGAAATGACAATGTGCTAATATTAAGAAAACTAAAAGTAACACCTATTATCATGAACCGAGAGCACATATACATGTATGATGCTTAAATATTCAAAAAGTAACACCTCTAGTAATTTGGTTAATAGATTAAAAACAAAAGGATTCAAAAATACCTCAAGATTCTGAAATTGAGAAACATGCAAAGAGAAACCCTATGTCCACTTACGCTGTGAAAAGTGGAAAACCAGTCATTAAATGGCATAGACACCTGGTTTTACAAGAATGAAATTAATAATTGTTAGATTGATAAATTAAAAAGTTAAAAATGAAGAAATAAGATGAGAATAATTAACTATTAGGAAACAGGTTCAGAAAGAAGAGAACAGGATGCTGTGTCACCTGTTCCATCCAAGAATCATAGAGTTTCGGTTCCAGTGAAAAAATGCTCTATTCCCAGTTTAATCAACCGGTAAGTTTTGGTGAGGTGACATGGCATGGCATGTATTTGACACGTCATCATAGAATTGTCAAGTGCGTACCAACTAGACACCATGTCACCAAAATCAGTGACCTTGGATAAAATCTGAATGACATTATGAAGAGCAGACAATAATACTCTTGCATCACTCATCTTCAGTGCTTCAACAAGAGAGATAAAAAGATTATGCATCATATCATATCATATACTATAGTTAAATAACACGTTGTATGGCATGTTCAAAGGATTCACTTGCATTATTCAAACCATGGTATTGAGAGTTTGATGTTTCAATGTTGCAACAAAAAGAAAAGTGAAAATAAAATGCTAATAATGAGATGATTTTTGAAAGTCAATGTGCTAATAATAAGAAAATTGAAAGTGAAATGCTTTAATAGGATATTCTTTCAAAGTAAAATGTATAGATTTGAAAAGAGATGTTTAATGTTTCGATGATGTTACAAATATGGGATTATTTTAAAAATGCAATGTGCAAATTATAAGAAAACTGAAAACTGAATGTTATAATTGGAAGATTTTCAAGTAAAATGCATTGAGAAGAAAAAAAAAGTTGGATGTTTCAATGTTCCAACATTAAAAAAAAAAGTACAAAGCCAAAAATGGGTTGATTTGTAAATGTGCTAATAACAGGAAAAGTGAATATACAATGCTATAATTGATAGATTATTCAAAAAACAATGCCTTAATAAGAAAAAGAATGGAAGTTGCAAAGTTGCAGTAGAGAGAATTTTCTAAGCATCCACTTACGTGATATAGGCTAGATAAGGGTAATATGGGGAAATCAACAAATAAAAAGAATGTATTTAGTTGAGGGGTATTTTTGGTATTCACTTAACGAAAAAGAATAACATCAGCAGGAGATGACATACCTTGGACTGAATATGAATATAATTGGTAAAAGAAAATTTCTTTTTTTGTTTTTCCGATAACATGTGATGACAGCTCCTACAAACACATAGCACAAAACATAACTCATAAGTCATACATAATCAATGTAATGAGTAAACTTTTTTAAATTAAAATGTTGCAATAAATAAGAGTTTGGAAGCATGACTTTAATAAAGGAAAAAATGAAAATGTAATTTAATAACAAGAAAGTAACAGAAAGTGCAATCTCTCTTCCATCATAGGAAATTATATCAAAACTGCTTTCTATTTGGATAAATATTGGTTAAAATTTTTAAACACCATGGTTTCAGGTGGCAATATCCTGTAAAAAGAGTAAATTAGTTTGTGTACATGAAAATTAATAAGACACAAAAAACCTAGAACTATTTTATTCTATAACCGAAAGAAAAAAAAATGTCAAACCCAATAAAACATAGAAACTAAGGTCTTAAAAACGAAGAAATATGATGTAATTAGATGAGATTAATTATTAGGGGCAAGATCAAACCTTGGATAAAGTGTGAAGAGCAGACAATAATACTCTTGCATCACTCATCTTCAGTGTTTCAGCAAGGGAGATAAGGGATTATGTTGTTTCCCTTGTGCATGATATCATACAATAGTTAAAACCATAGATGTGATGAATGACATTATAAATGGAAAAACTTGTAAAGTTAAATAAATATATTCACAAATTTTGTTTTTAGAAGTCATTAGCACTTATTAGACAATTATAAGCAAAGAGTAAAAGAAAACAGAACACCCATAACAAGATTAACAAGATCAAGTTGTCATTAATAACATGTTGTATTAATCAAACCATGTAGAGAGTTTCTATTTGCTATACTATCATAATGATAAAACATAACCATGGGATCCTTAAAACATGGATCATATCACATGTAATAATGATAGAACAAAATCATGGGATCCTTAAAACATAGAACATGATCATATTTCATCTTTCCGTGTCATCATTTCAATCCTAATGTATTCCTACATTAAGGTTATGCTCCTTATCCTTACACTAAAAGTTCACTCATATCAAATTTTCTAAATATATCTTTAGATTGGTTCATGTTTCTTTCAAGGTAAAGTTCACTCAATGTAAAATTCATAGATAAGAAAAAAAGAATTTTGAATAATGCTATAGAAACAAAAATGTGAAAATACAATGCTAAAAATGGGATGTTTTTTGAGAAATCAATGTAAAATGGAAGTTTGAATATAGAATGCTTTAATTGGATTTTTTTTAAAAGTAAAATGCATAGATGAGAATAGCGAAGTTTCAATGATGTTATACAAAGAAAAGTGAAAGTATAATGTTAAAAATAGGATGACTTTTGCAAAAAAAAAATCAATGTAAAATGGAAGTTCCAGAAATTAGAAAGCTTTAATTGGAATTTTTTTAAGTAAATTGCATAGATGAGAAAAATAGAAGTTTGATGTTTCAATGAAGTTACAGGAAGAAAAAGTTAAAGTAAAGTGCAATAAATGGGATGATTTTGAAAACTAAATGTACAATGAATGTTATTGGAACTAGAATGCTTTAATTGGAAGTTTTTTCAAAGTAAAATGCATAGATTCATAAAACATAAAATGGACGTTAATGAATGTAGAATGCTTTAATTAGAAGATTTTCAAAGTAAAATGCATCGATGAGTAAACGAGAAGTTTGATGCTTCAATGATGTTACAGAAAGAAAAGTTAATGTCCAATGCTAAAAATAGGATGGTTTTTGAAAATTCAATGTAAAATGGAAGTTTTTGAAAATAAAATGCTTGAATTGCAATTTTTTTCAATGTAAAATGCATAGATAAGAAGAGTGAAGTTTGATATTTTAATGATGTTACAAAAAGAAAAGTTAAAGTACAATACTAAAAATGCGATGATTATGCTATAATTAGGTTTTTTTCAAAATAAAAAGTATAGATGAAAAAAGTGAAGTTTCAATGATGTTAAACAAAGAAAAAGTGAAAGTGCAATGCTGAAAATAGAATGATTTTTGAAAAATCAACATAAAATGGAAGTTTTGGACAAAAGAATGCTTTAATCCGATTTTTTTTCAAAAATAAAATGCATTGATGTGAATTCAATGCAAAATGGATGTTTTTGAATGTACAATGAGTTAATGGGAAATTTTTTCAAAGTAAAATTAAAGCACCATGCTAATTGTAAAAGAATAAGAGAAGCTGAATTTATGACACACAACAAAATATAAAGTGGTTTAGTGGTGGAACATACCTGTAACATGTGATGACAGCTCATATAAAAGTGGAAATATACACATGTTTAGTATCACAATTCAAATTAAAAAGAAAAATAACAACATCAGGAAATGACAAACCTTGGACTTAATATGAATATAATTGGTAAAAGAAAATTTCTTCTCTGTCTTTCCCATAACATGTGATGACAGCTCATACAAACACATACCACAAAACATAAGTCAAAGGCCATACATACTCAATGTAATGGGTAAACTTTTTTAAATTAAATTAAAATGTTGTAATAAATAAGAGTGCTGGAAGCATAACTTTAATAAAAGAAAAACTGAAAACACAATGCAATTGTGCAATCTTTTTTCTTGAATATAAAACTAACAAGTCTTATCAAAATTGATTTCTATATATTTGGATACATATTGATGTAATTGGTTTCAAGAAATTAACCTTTGGAGATGTTGGTTCCCGGATGAGGTTGGGGTTTGAAGGGGCCCACCATGGTTTCAGGTGGCAACATCCTGCATAAAGAGTAAAACATTAGTTTGCGTTCATGAAAATTAAAAAGGCAGAAACATCCTACAATTATAGTATTCCATAAGAGAATCCCTAATCTAATAAAAAAAAACTAGGTCAAACCCAATAAAAGTGTAAGTTTAATGAAACATAGGAACTTCACACCTCTAGTAATTTGGTTAATAGATTAAATAACATAGACACCTGGTTTTACAAGAATGAAATTAATAATGGTTAGATTGATAAATTAAAAAGTTAAAAATGAAGAAATAAGATGAGAATATGTAACTATTAGGAAACAGGTTCAGAAAGAAAAGAACAGGATGCTGTGTCACCTGTTCCATCCAAGAATCATAGAGTTTCGGTTCCAGTGAAAAAATGCTCTATTCCCAGTTTAATCAACCGGTAAGTTTTGGTGAGGTGACATGGCATGGCATGTATTTGACACGTCATCATAGAATTGTCAAATGCGTACAAACTAGACACCATGTCACCAAAATCAGTGACCTTGGATAAAATCTGCCAGCAATTCTCTAAAAGCAAGGACGATTAGCTACGTTCCAATGAAGCACATTCCAAGTGAATGACATTGTGAAGAGCAGACAATAATACTCTTGCATCACTCATCTTCAGTGCTTCAACAAGAGAGATAAAAAGATTATGCATCATATCATATCATATACTATAGTTAAATAACACGTTGTATGGCATGTTCAAAGGATTCACTTGCATTATGCATCATATCATATCATATACTATAGTTAAAACCATAGCTGTGATTATAAATGGAAAAAACTTGTATAGTTAAATAAATATATTCACAGCTTTTGTTTTTAGAAGTCCAATAATATTAGTACTTATCAGACGATTATAAGCAAATAAATAGCTACCTTTTGGGTAAACTAAAATTAAAGCACAATGCCAATTGTAAAAAAAATAAGAGCAAGGCAGGACATGAACATGACAAACCCAACATAGAATTTATGACACACAACAAAATATAGAGTTGGTTAGTGGTGGAACATACTTGGAGTATGAAATGAAAGCACTTTCCTATTTCTGGATACACTTAGAGATTCAGCATCCCCACTATAATATACAGATGTTCAGTTGTAATTTTATCTTACAATATCATTGAGAAAATTGAAATTGAAAAAGAATAACAGCAGCGACATGACATACCTTGGACTGAATATAAATAAAGAAAATTTCTTCTTTGTCCTTCCCATAACATGTGAAAAGTCCTATAAACACATAACAAAAAACATAAGTCATACATAATCAATGTAATAGGTAAACTTTTTTAAATGAAAACTTTGCAATAAATAAGAGTTTTGGAAGCATAACTTTAATAAGGGAAAGTAATGGAATAGTGCAATCCTTTTTTTTGCATAAAAACCTAAGAAATTTTTATCAAAACTGCTTTCTATATATTTGGATGAATATTGATTTAATTGGTTAACTTTTTTTAAACACCGTGATAATGCTTCAAGAACTTATTAACCTTTGGAGATGTTGGTTTCCAGATGAGGTTGGGTTTGAAGGGGCCCGCCATGGTTTCAGGTGGCAAGATCCTATAAAAAGAGTAAAATATTAGTTTGTGTTCATGAAAATTAAAAAGACACAAACAATCTAGAATTATATTCCATAACCGAATCCCTAATCAAATAAAAAAAAGGTCAAAGTGTAAGTTTAATGAAACATAGGAACTTCACACCTCTAGTAATTTGGTTAATAGATTAAAACCAAAAGGATTCAAAAATACCTCAAGATTCTGAAATTGGGAAACAAATCGTGGAATCAAACTGGCAAAGAGAGACCCCCTCTGTCCAAATCCACTGTAAAAAGTTGAAAACCAGTCATTTAATAGCATAGACACCTAGTTTTACAAGAATGAAATTAATATAAATTAAGGACTTAAAAATGAAGAAATATGATGTAATAAGATGAGAATAATTAATTATTAGGAAACACATTCAGAAGATATAAATGCATCGTCATCATCCAAACATCAAACCGGATATCATTAATTATTTATATTACCTACCTTTTCTTTCTTCAGCTTGTTTCAAAGTTTAGCCCGTAAGTTTTGGTGAGGTGACATGGCATGGCATGTATTTGACACGTCATCAAATGCATACCAACTAGACACTATGTCATCAGAAACTTACAAGTTAAACCGGTCAACAAGTGACTTGCCTTATTGGAATTGAAACGCATCAACTTCAACACATGTGATACGGAAGCTGGATTGTTGTCATACTCCTGTTAATTGATACCAACAACTAACTGAATGACAAGAATGACACCTTTAAATCAAGTGCCATTTTTTTTAGAGAAAACAAGTGCCATTGTTGTTTGAGTTGCTAGTGAAACACTGTTTTGGACAATATTTCATTAATAGCCATATCTATTACCATTGGAAGCACCCTGCAGCAAAAGTAAAGGATCAATAAGTTTTTCAGCAAACAGTTTTTAATTATCTAGTTGGCAGTTTCAATCAAAAGAGAAAAAATAAAAGCATATTCATATCTTCAACAAAAGGAACAACAGGGAAATGAAGTGGAGCAGCATGCAGCATGTTATCCACCAAAATAAAACGCATCAGCAAAACAGATAGTGAAATACTCTCAAAACAAAAACATCTATACACAACAAACCTGGTATATAATATATGTGGTAATTCACCTTGATTTATAGTATTGTGTTGAGATGAACCAACAGAAATCAGGATTTCCTTCATTTTTCCTAACCCTATCCTTCACAAGAGATGACATGTTACAAATCAAGATTCTTGAACTATATATATATATATATATATATATATATATATATATATATATATATATATATATATATATATATATATATATATATATATATATATATATATATAAGGGAATACAAAAACCAACATGAGAATATATATTTCTTCATTGTTGAGGAAGTTGACAGAGAATTGAACGTAAAATGGAAGTTTATCAAAGTAGAATGCTTTAAAATGCAAGTTTTTTCAAAGCAAACTGCATAGATGAGAAAAAAATGTTTGATTTTTCAATAATGTTAAAGAAAGTACAATGCTAAAATGGGATAACTTTTAAAAATTCAACGTAAAATGGATGATTTTGAAAGTAGAATGATTGGAAAAATTTCAAAGTAAATTGCGTAGATAAGAAAAAAAAGGATGTTTGATGTGTCAAAAATGTTACAGAAAGGAAAGTTAAAATATAGTCCTAAAAATGGTATGATTTTTGAAAATTGATTGTAAAATGGAAGTATTTGAATGTAAAATGCTTTAATTGGAAGTTTTTTTTAATGTTAAATGCAAAAATAAGAAAAACAGACTTTTTTCAATGTATAATGTTAAATTTGTGATGATTTTTAAAATTTCATTGTAAAATGGAAGTTTTTGAGAGTATAATACCTTAATTGTAAGTTTATTCAAAGTAAAATTCATAGATGAGAAAGAAATAAAAAAGATGTTTGATGTTTCAAAGATGTTAATGAAAGAAAAATGTAAAGTACAGTTCTAAAAATGGGATGATTTGTGAAAATTAAATGTAAAATGGAATTTTTTGGAAGTAGAATGTTTTAACTATTAAGTTTTTTTTTTAAAACAAAAGGCATAGTTGAGAAAAAAAGATGTTTGATGTTTTAAAGATGTTACAGAAAGAAAAAAGAAAAGTACAATTATAAAATTTGGATATGTTTGAAAATTGAATGTAAAATGGAAGTTTTTTCAAAGTAAAATGTATAGATGAGAAAAAGAAAGTTTGAAGTTTACATAAAGAAAAAAGTTAAAGTAAAATGCTAAAAATCGGATATTTTTGAAAATCGCATGTAAAATGGAAGTTTTTGAAAATAGAATGCTTTAGTTGAAAATTTCTTTCAAAGTAAAATGAATGTTTTTTGAAAATAAAATGAATACATGAGAAATAAAAAGTTTGATGTTTCAAAGATGTTATATAAAGAAAAAGTTAAAGTGCAATGCTAAAAATGGGGATGATTTATGAAAATTGAATGTAAAATACAGGTTTTTGAAAGTAGAATACTTTAAATGTAAGTTTTTTCAAAGTAAAATGCATACATGAGAAGAATGGAATGATTTTTGAAAATCGAATGTAAAATGGAAGCTGTCAAAAGTAAAATGCATTAAATGAAAGTTTTTTCAAAGTAAAATGCAAAGATGAGAAATGGAAAGTTTGATGTTTCAATTATCTTACTTGAAGAAAAAAGTTAAAATGCAATGCTAAAAACTAGACGATTTTTTAAATCTGAATGTGAAATTGAAGGTTTTGACTGTAGAATGCTTTAGTTGTAAGTTTTTTAAAAAGTAAAATGCGTAGATGAGAAAAAGAGAAGTTTGATGTCACGTAAAAGAAAGTTTTTGAAAATAAAATGCTTTGATTGAAAGTTTTTCAAAGTAAAATGCATAAATAAAAAAAAGTTACATAAATAAAAAAAAGTTAAAGTGCAATGCTAAAAATGGGATTATTTTTGAAAATTGAATGTGAAATGGAAGTTTTTGAAAGTACAATGCTTTAATTGTAAGTTTTTTTTGCAAAGTAGAATGCATACATGAGAAAAAGTTAAAGCATAATGCTAAAAATGGGATTTTTTTTTTGAAAATTGAATATAAAATGGAAGTTGTTGAAAGTAGAATGCTTTAAATTGAAAAAAATTTCAAATAAAATGCAAAGATTAGAAAAAAAGAAATTTGATGTTTCAGTTACAAAAAAGAAAAAGTTTAAGTGCAATGCTAAAGATGGGATGATTTTTGGAAATCAAATGTAAAATGGAAGTTTTTGAAAGTAGAATGCTTTGATTGTAAATTTTTCTCAAAGTAAAATGCATAGATGAGGAAAAGAGAAGTTTGATGTTTCAATGAGGTTACAGAAAAAAAAATTGAAATTACATGCTAAAAAAAGGATGATTTTTTAAAATACATCGTAAAATGAAAGATTTTGAAAATAGAATGCATGAATTGGAATTTTTTTCAAAGTTAAATGCATAGATGAGATAAAAAGAAGTTTGATGTTTTAACGATGTTACATCAAAAAAAGTTAGTACAATTCTAAAAATGAGATGATTTTTGAAAATCAAAAGCAAATATAAAATGGAAGTTTTTGAAAGTAGAATGATTTAATTGAATGTTTTTTTACAAAGTAAAATGCATAGATGAGAAATGAGATATTTCATGTTTCAAAGATGTTACATAAAGAAAGACTTAAGTACAAAGCTAAAAACATTTCATGTTTCAAAGATGTTACATAAAGAAAGACTTAAGTACAAAGCTAAAAACAGGATATTTCTAAAAATCGAGTGTAAAATTGATGTTTTTGAAAATAAAATACCTTTATTGTAAGTTTTTCCAAATTAAAATGCATAGATGAGAAATGAGAAGTTTGATGTTTCAATGATGTTACATTAAGAAAAAGTACAATGCTAAAAATGTGATTATTTTAAAAAACTCAATGAAAAATGGAAAGTTTTTGAAAGTAGAATGTTTTAATTGTAAGATTTTTCAAAGTAAAATACATAGATGAGAAAAAAAAGTTTGATGTTTCAATGATGTTACAGAAAAGAAAGTTAGAGTACAGTCCTAAAATGGGATGATTTTTGAAAGTTGAACGTAAAATGGAAGCTTTTGAAAGTAGAATGCTTTATGTCTAAATTTTTTCAAAGTAAAGCACATAGATGAGAAAAAGAAGTTTGATGTTTTAATTATGTTACAGAAAGAAAAGTTAAAGTCCAATGCTAAAAATAGGATGGTTTTTGAAAATTTAATGTAAAATGGAAGTTTTTGAAAAAAGAATGCTTGAATTGCAAGTTTTTTCAAAGTAAAATGCATAAAAGTGTAAGTTTAATGCAACATAGGAACTTCACACCTCTAGTAATTCGGTTAATAGATTAAAACCAAAAGGATTCAAAAATACCTCAAGATTCTGAAATTGAAAAACAAATGGTGGAATAAAACTGGCAAAGACAAACCCTCTGTCCACTTCCAAACTAGTCATTAAATGGCATACACACCTGGTTTTACAAGAATGAAATTAATATAAATTAAGGAGTTAAAAATGAAGAAATAAGATGAGAATAATTAATTATTAGGAAACAGGTTTAGAAAGAACAGAACAGGATGCTTAGTCACCTGTTCCATCAGAGAATCATAGAGTTTTGGTTCCACTGAAAAAAATGATCTATTCCCAGTTTAACCAACCGGTAAGTTTTGGTGAGGTGACATGGCATGGCATGTATTTGACACGTCATCATAGAATTGTCAAATGCGTACCAACTAGGCACCATGTCACCAAAATCAGTGACCTTGGATAAAAGAGAAAATAAGTTTCTAAATTAAAATGCTGTAATAAATAAGAGTTCTAGAAGCATAACTTTAATAAACAAAAAGCTGAAAACACAATGCAATAGTGCAATCTTTTTTCTTGAATATAAAACTAACAAGTCTTATCAAAATTGGTTTCTATATATTTGGATAAATATTGATGTAATCGGTTTCAAGAAATTAACCTTTGGAGATGTTGGTTTCCGGAGGAGGTTGGGTTTGATGGGGCCCACCATGGTTTCAGGTGAACATCCTGTAAAAAGAGTAAATTATTAGTTTGTGTTCATGAAAATTAAAAAGATACAAACAACCTACAATTATATTACATAACTGAATCCCTAATCAAATTAAAAAAATAGGTCAAACCTAGTAAAAATGTAAGTTTAATGCAACAAAGGAACTTCCCACCTCTAGTAATTCGGTTAATAGATTAAAACCAAAAGGATTCAAAAATACCTCAAGATTCTGAAATTGAGAAACAAATGGTGGAATAAAACTGGCAAAGATAAACCCTATGTCCACTTCCAAACCAATCATTAAATGGCATAGACACCTGGTTTTACAAGAATGAAATTAATAATGATTAGATTGATAAATTAAGGAGTTAAAAATGAATAAATAAGATGAGAATAATTAATCATAGAGTTGGCAGTTGCAATCAAAAGAGAAAAATAAAAGCATATTCATATCTTCAACCAAAGGAACAATAGGGAAATGGAACAATAGGGAAATACCTGAAAAAGACCTTGTATTTTTCCATTTTGTCCAAAAAAGTCCTCAACTTTGAATTTTTTTTTTAGAAAAAAAAACCCTCATCCTTCTAAATGTTTCCAAATAAACCCTCACATTTTAAATTTTTTTTGAAAAAAAAACTACTAGGGCCAGATCGGAAAAAATGAAAAAATAAAAGGTCTTTTTCAGGCAAAATTACAAAATATAAGGTCTTTTTTAGATTAACCCTAAACTATTACCTATATTATCTTAGATTTAATTCATATGTAATTTAAAATAAAAAAGGATACATCCATAAACAATTGCAAATTCTTTCCCTGAATACGACCATTGAACATCATGTACAAGTCCTTCTTTTCCTGCAAAAATTATAATAATTAATTATTAAAAAAAAATTATCAAATGAAATGTTACATACTTACATTCAGTGTATAAAGAAAGATAAACTTACGTAAGGGCAGAAGCCCATTATGAGTTTCATCTAAAGTCAAATAATACAGCTTTGACTTTCCATAGTAACTCTACTCTGGTTAGTTTTATCAACATCTGATTGAACCACAACCAGAAGCCTTGTAGAACCATGGTTCCAATGTTGAGCTGTTGAACATCTGAAGAAAGTTCTTGTACTAATGGGTTCACTTTGGGAAGCCTGTGTACATGCATATATCAAGATAAATGACCTATCAACAATTAAGTGGAAATGGAAGCTCTTAAAAAATGATTACTAAGAATTCAAGGTGAGTATTGAATTAGAATGACGAACCTTAGATTCTGGAACAAATACAGCAACATGGGATCCAGGTTGCTTAGAAAGCTCTACTGCAGCTATTCCAGGAATTCTAATCTTATGCACCATGCCTTTTGAAAAATCAAAGAATTGAATTTCATTTGTAGCCATACGAGAAGCAACAGTTTTATCAGAGCTAAATCTAATTGATGGCCTGAAGAAGATGTAAGTCAAGTTCAAGTAAAGATGTTTGCAGCTTATACAATTATCAAACCAAAAGCAAAAACTACTGTTATACCATGTTGCTTTGGTCATGTTCTTCTAGGACATAGTTTAAACTGATTCTCCTGTTTCTATCTTCCAAAATGTGACTTTTTTTTTTCTTGTGGTGATGATAGTTTCTGAAAGTAAGTTCCACATGGAGAGATAGAGAGGCAACAAGAGTGTTGGGGGATTCAAATGATCTCATCTATTTTGAGGTTTTGTAATCGTAGATGCTAATTGAAGTTTCGGATTTCATCACCATGCTAATACATGTATGCTCCTTCTTCTCTGTCTATTTCTCATAATCTCCTTCTCTGTGAAACCTCTTATGTGAGACCCACCTCCAATTGGTTACCTTTTGAAAAACAAAAAAAAGATGCTTTTAAAAATGTCAGTGGCTAAAACAATAAAAATATAATATGTAAAAATCACCAAGATTCAGATTGTGCTTCTCTTCTTCATAGGGTCAACTTCATTGTCACATTGAACTACTGAATTCCACCACCCTCTACATAAATATATATAAATCATCAAATTTCATATTGAATTTGGTGATTTTACAGCATTTGAACATAATTGTAACTTGGTGTGATGGTACTTTACCTGAAAAAGACCACATACCTCTAATAGTTTCTCTTGCTATGTAAAATTTAAGATATTGGTTAAATCGTTACGATAATATCGTATTCAAATTATACGTACATCATCAAGTTTACGTTATCTAAAATTTGTTATGCTCATGTATAAGAAAATATACGTAGATGATAACAGATACATAACAAATAATAGTCATATACAATGAAAACGTACAATTGAGTTAGAATGCTGATGTAAAAAATGTTTATATAGTAATAAACGATATTAACTTTTAAAAAATAAGCAACAGTAGCTGAAAAGAAAACTCTTCAAGCCTTTACTCCACTTGTTTACTTTAAAGGACAAAAAAGAAAGGACAGAAACACATAGATAAGTTACCTGAAAAGCTTGCCTGTGGGTATAAGAAAGTGTATGGCAAATTCACCACGAAAACGTACAATTTGACTCCAAAATATCGCTGCTCCAAATTCATGATGCATCGAACACCTGTCAGTTGGAGAAACATTGCCCAGAATGATAAATACTTTACAAACAAACAAACGTAAATAGACAATTCCATTAACAATTATTAAAGAAAAAATTAAACCAAACGAACGGATGAAGCCAACGTAAATCTCCTCTTGAGAGTACCAGATAAAAGAAAATTGGAAAAAAAAAATAGATTTGGGAGAAATCAATTACTTGTACAGAACATAGAAAAAGAGGGTGGTGGGAATACCTGATTGGATAACTAAACTGGTTTATGTATTTCATTACCTCCAATAAGACACTCATCTTCGGTGCTTCAACAAGAGAGATAAAAGATTATGTTGTTGCCCCTTTGCATCATATCATATCATATAATAGTTAAAACCATGATAATATCACCATTGTGTGAAGCACAAATGAAACTATCAGGTAAAGAATTCGGTTTTGAAGTTGAAAGTGCAAGGCCTCTTATGGATGTTGCCTTCAAAAGGATTAATTCAGGCAAGGATCTGAAAAAGGTAAATAATATCAAAATCATGTGTTTATCGACATTTTTATTCAATCAAAATCTAAATATGAAAAAGATAACTCACCTAATTTCAATTTTCCCATTGGTAAAAACAAGAACAAGGCCAGCATCAGAACAACATGTTGAAGCCTAACAACAAATTGAGGAATTAAACTTCTTTTTATAACAAACCTTCTTCACTCCCTGTATATATATTTTTATATTTAAAACTAAGTATACAAGAGTATATAAAATATGTCAAGAAAATTAATTCTTCAAGTTCTAAAATCTAACCTGAACAACATGTGAAAGTGAATACACGTAAACAGCTTTCTCAGAACATAGTAGCAATGACTCCTTCACTACCCCATCATCAAACGAATTTCCTATTATACCCTTAGATGCATTAGATCCTCTGCCAGCTGTCCCCTGCTCATATATATATATATATATATATATATATATATATATATATATATATATATCATTTGTAACATATAAATAAAGAACAATACAAAAAAAAGTATGATTTATTTACTACCTAACATTTGGATTAAAACAGCTTAAGAAGGTTATTTAGGATGAACTGATCCATTATTGAGAATATTTCCTGTTTCACTTTTAAGTGCCCAAGCTGATGAATCCCTTGTTGCTGCCATTAACACACTTTTCTCAAATCCATGCAAACTACACATCCCAAATTGCAGAGAGATGACAGCTGTCGAGATCTCACTCGCTATACGCCTTTCATATAACACAGTTGCTCCTCCAATGTCAATCACCGAAACCTTCATCATTTTTTAATTTACGTTAATTTAGTTACAAAAAGGGCAAAAAAGGAAAAAAAAATGATATCTTACATATCCTTGATCTGACCCCACAGCAATATGTTTAGAGTCATGACTTCACAAGTTGAACACTTTGAACAATATTGCTTCCTTTCTTTGAACTTGCTTGTAAGGACAAAAAACTGCTCTCTATAGCATATGGCTCGGGTTTAAATTTATAAATTCTAACCTGTGACATAAAATATTAATTTTAAATTGAAATGTAACATATTTTTACAATATGATATATAGATACTCACTGTTCCAGTTTGATCTCCAGATATGAGGAGGCGTGTTTCCATATCATAACACAATGCAGTCAGTGGAACACCACTTAAAGTCTGATCATCTTCACTTTGTTGATTAAATGATACAATTGGAATCAAAAGTGGAGATGATGCATCCCAGAAGTTTATACCACCATTGCTATGTCCTGTTATGTATATGTTTTTGAAACTTGAAAAACTCGTAAAACCAGTTGAAGAAGATGAAGATGAAGATGAAGATCCGTCTTTTTGCTTAGACTCCAATGAGAAAAGTGAAGGAGTCTTTTTCGACATCAACATAAATATTAGCACTTATCAGATAATTATAAGCAAATAAATACCTTTTGGACATTCCTAAAACACCCATAACAGAAGTTTCTCAATGAAGGCATGTTCAAGGGATTCACTTGCATTATTCAAACCATGGTATTGAGAGTTTCTTATCTGAAAAATGAAAATAATACACAATCAATCACACATGAACAAAACAGAAAATGTTTAACAATGAACCTTGCTAGTAATATAAGACAGATTCCAAGCTACTATGGATATACTTCTCATCAGAATTTGGAGGATTCAAAAAAAAAAAAAACTAACTGAATGAGAATGACACCTTTAAAACAGGTGCCATTGTTGCTTGAAACACTCTTCTGGACAATATTTATAGTATATACATATATCTCTTTAATACCCTTACCTTATCCACTACCATTGGAAGCAACCTGCAAAAGTAAAGGATCAGTAAGTTTTTCAGCAAATGAAAAGAGAAAAATAAAAGCATATTCATATCTTCAACCAAAGGAACAATAGGGAAATACCTGAAAAAGATCTTGTATTTTTCCATTTTTTCCAAAAAAGTCCTCAACTTTGATTTTTTTTTTTTCAGAAAAAAACCCTCATCCTTCTAAATGTTTCCAAATAAACCCTCACATTTTAAAAAAATTTTGAAAAAAAAAACTATCAGGGCAAGATCGGAAAAAATGAAAAAATAAAAGGTCATTTTCAGGCAAAATTACAAAATATAAGGTCTTTTTTAGATTAACCCTAAACTATTACCTATATTATCTTAGATTTAATTCATATGTAATTTAAAATAAAAAAGGATACATCCATAAACAATTGCAAATTCTTTCCCTGAATACGACCATTGAACATCATGTACACGTCCTTCTTTTCCTGCAAAAATTATAATAATTAATTATTAAAAAAAAATATTATCAAATGAAATGTTACATACTTACATTCAGTGTATAAAGAAAGATAAACTTACGTAAGGGCAGAAGCCCATTATGAGTTTCATCTAAAGTCAAATAATACAACTTTGACTTTCCATAGTAACTCTACTCTGGTTAGTTTTATCAACATCTGATTGAACCACAACCAGAAGCCTTGTAGAACCATGGTTCCAATGTTGAGCTGTTGAACATCTGAAGAAAGTTCTTGTACTAATGGGTTCACTTTGGGAAGCATGTGTACATGCATATATCAAGATAAATGACCTTATATCAACAATTAAGTGGAAATGAAAGCTCTAAAAAAATGGTTACTAAGAATTCAAGGTGAGTATTGAATTAGAATGACGAACCTTAGATTCTGGAACAAATACAGCAGCATGGGATCCAGGTTGCTTAGAAAGCTCGACTGCAGCTATTCCAGGAATTCTAATCTTATGCACCATGCCTTTTGAAAAATCAAAGAATTGAATTTCATTTGTAGCCATCCGAGAAGAAACAGTTTCATCAGAGCTAAATCTAATTGATGGCCTGAAGAAGATGTAAGTCAAGTTCAAGTAAAGATGTTTTCAGCTTATACAATTATCAAACCAGAAGCAAAAACTACTGTTATACCATGTTGCTTTGGTCATGTTCTTCTGGGACATAGTTTAAACTGATTCTCCTGTTTCTGTCTTCCAAAATGTGACTTTTTTTTTCTTGTGGTGATGATAGTTTCTGAAAGTAAGTTCCACATGGAGAGATAGAGAGGCAGCAAGAGTGTTGGGGGATTCAAATGATCTCATCTATTTTGAGGTTTTGGAATCGTAGATCATGTTGTTGCCCCTGTGCATCATATCATATCATATTATAGTTAAAACCATAGCTGTGATTATAAATGGAAAAAACTTGTACTGTTAAATAAATATATTCACAACTTTTGTTTTTATAAGTCTAATATTAGCACTTATCAGCAAATAGCTACCTTTTGGACATTCATAAAACACCCATAACAGAAGCTTCTCAATTAAGGCATGTTTAAGGGATTCACTTGCATTATTCAAACCATGGTATTGAGAGTTTCTTATCTGAAAAATGAAAATTATACACAATCAATCACACATGAACAAAACAGAAAATGTTTAACAATGAACCTTGCTAAGACAGATTTCAAGCTAGTATGGATATACTTCTCATCAGAATTTGGAGGATTCAAAAAAAAGAACTAACTGAATGAGAATGACACCTTTAAAACAAGTGCCATTGTTGCTTGAAACACTCTTCTGGACAACATTTATAGTAGAAACTATTTCTTTAATATCGTTGCCTTATCCACTACCATTGGAAGCACCCTGCAAAAGTAAAGGATCAATAAGTTTTTCAGCAAATGAAAAGAGAAAAACAAAAGCATATTCATATCTTCAACCAAAGGAACAGTAGGGAAAGGCATGCTGTCCACCAAAATAAAAGGCACCAAAAAATCAGATAGTGAAATAGCTTGAATACTCTAAAAACAAAAACATATATAGACAACAAATCAACCTGGTATAATATATGTGGTAATTCACCTTGATTTACAGTATTTTGTTGAGATGAAGCAATAGAAATCAGGGTTTCCTTCAATTTTCCTAACCCTGTCTTCATGTCCAAATCAAGATTCTTGAACAATATCTAAAAGGGAAAACCAACATGAGAATAAGTAAAAAATCACAATTGTACATGTGCTACACATACATAGATTCAAACATACTTCAATTGAAAACTTGAGAATTGAGATTTGGCATTGCATGTATTTTCAGCAAGTAATCCAAGAATTAGGTGGTTAATATGCTAGACTGCCTACGCATGGTTCCAAAACCTATAGCAAGGGAATTGAAGTGAAAAGAAGAATACCAATAACCTCAGTGATTTTGAGAATAAACATAAATCAATGGAGTTACATACCATGGAGGTAACTGGAATTATCCCAATCATTAAACCCTTTCATAAGCCTGCACAAGTTAAAATGTAAACTTATCATATATCGCACCTACTCAAGAAGATGAAAAGAAACAGCTCTTTCAAAAAAAAAAGATGAAAAGAAACAAAATTACAGATTCTTCAGCAATAAACGCTCTTCAAAACTTGTCTGTATGAGCCTGTTGCATTCCCAAATAACAAATTAAAACCAACAGGGTTCAAAAATACCTCAACATTGTGAAATTGGGAAACAAATAGTGGAATCAGACAAACATAAAGAAACCCTCCGTTTACTATGGACATCGCCTGTGAGAGGCGTCGATTTGGGTGAAAGCAGAGATGTTGAAGAAAAAAGGGGATGAAAATCACTCGTTATTTCTTTGCTTTGCTTCAAGATTCTGGACGTTTGATTAGCTGAGATCAAACCAAAGAATATTTCAAGTCTTCTCTTCAGTGGGGTTGGAGCTTATAAGTTGATATTTGGGGTGTGAGCCTTTGAAGAGGGGAAGTTAAGTGAAGCGTTGTTTCAAGAAGGGAAAAGAAGAGGGAAGCAGCATGCTAGCAATTATAGTATTCCATAACAGAATCCATAATCTAATAAATTAAAAAAGAACAGGTCAAACCCAATAAAAGTGTAAGTTTAATGCAACAAAGGAACTTCCTGCCTCTAGTATATTGGTTAATAGATTAAAACCAAAAGGATTTAATAATACCTCAAGATTCTGAAATCAGGAAACAAATGGTGGAATCAAACAGGCAAGAAGAAACCCTCTGTCCAATTCCACTGTGAAAAGGGGAAAACCGGTCATTAAATGGCATAGACACCTGGTTTTACAAGAATAAAATTTATATAAATTAAGGAGTTAAAAATGAAGAAATAAGATGAGAATAATTAATTATTAGGAAACAGGTTCAGAACAGAACAGGATGCTTAGTCACCTGTTCCATTCAAGAATCATAGATAAAGGTAAGTTTTGGTGACATGGCAACTGCTCTATTCCCAGTTTAACCAACCGGTAAGTTTTGGTGAGGTGACATGGCATGGCATGTATTTGACACGTCATCAAATGCATACCAACTAGACACCATGTCACCAATAACTTACCAGTTAAACCGGTCTACAAGCGACTCAGGTGGATTGTAGCAATTGGATAAAATCTGAATGACATTGTGAAGAGCAGACAATAATACTCTTGCATCACTCATCTTCAGTGTTTCAACAAGAGATAAAAAGATTATGCTGTTGCCCCTGTGCATCATATCATATCATATACTATAGTTAAAACCATAGCTGTGATTATAAATGGAAAAAACTTGTACAGTTAAATAAATATATTCACAACTTTTGTTTTTGGAAGTCTAATATTAGCACTTATCAGATGATTATAAGCAAATAAATAGCTACCTTTTGGACATTCATAAAACACCCATAACAATAGCTTCTCAGTTGATGCACATCCCAACTCAAGGTTGTCATCAATAACACGTTGTATGGCATGTTCAAAGGATTCACTTGCATTATTCAAACCATGGTATTGAGAGTTTCTTATCTGAAAAACAAAAATAAAACACAATCAAGCACACATGAACAAAACAGAAAATGTTTAACAATGAACCTTGCTAGTAATATAACACAGATTTCAAGCTAGTATGGATATACTTCTCATCAGAATTTGGAGGATTCAAAAAAAAAAAAAAACCTAACTGAATGAGAATGACACCTTTAAAACAAGTGCCATTGTTGCTTGAAACCCTCTTCTCGACAATATTTATAGTATATACACATATCTCTTTAATACCCTTGCCTTATCCACTACCATTGGAAGCACCCTGCAAAAGTAAAGGATCAATAAGTTTTTTAGCAAATGAAAAGAGAAAAATAAAAGCATATTCATATCTTCAACCACAGGAACAATAGGGAAATACCTGAAAAAGACCTTGTATTTTTCCATTTTGTCCAAAAAAGTCCTCAACTTTGAATTTTTTTTTTTAGAAAAAAAAAAAACCCTCATCCTTCTAAATGTTTCCAAATAAACCCTCACATTTTAAATTTTTTTTGAAAAAAAAACTACTAGGGCCAGATCGGAAAAAATGAAAAAATAAAAGGTCTTTTTCAGGCAAAATTACAAAATATAAGGTCTTTTTTAGATTAACCCTAAACTATTACCTATATTATCTTAGATTTAATTCATATGTAATTTAAAATAAAAAAGGATACATCCATAAACAATTGCAAATTCTTTCCCTGAATACGACCATTGAACATCATGTACACGTCCTTCTTTTCCTGCAAAAATTATAATAATTATTTATTAAAAAAAATATTATGAAATGAAATGTTACATACTTACATTCAGTGTATAAAGAAAGATAAACTTACGTAAGGGCAGAAGCCCATTATGAGTTTCATCTAAAGTCAAATAATACAGCTTTGACTTTCCATAGTAACTCTACTCTGGTTAGTTTTATCAACATCTGATTGAACCACAACCAGAAGCCTTGTAGAACCATGGTTCCAATGTTGAGTTGTTGAACATCTGAAGAAAGTTCTTGTACTAATGGGTTCACTTTTGGGAAGCCTGTGTACATGCATATATCAAGATAAATGACCTTATATCAACAATTAAGTGGAAATGGAAGCTCTTAAAAAATGATTACTAAGAATTCAAGGTGAGTATTGAATTAGAATGACGAACCTTAGATTCTGGAACAAATACAGCAACATGGGATCCAGGTTGCTTAGAAAGCTCGACTGCAGCTATTCCAGGAATTCTAATCTTATGCACCATGCCTTTTGAAAAATCAAAGAATTGAATTTCATTTGTAGCCATACGAGAAGCAACAGTTTCATCAGAGCTAAATCTAATTGATGGCCTGAAGAAGATGTAAGTCAAGTTCAAGTAAAGATGTTTGCAGCTTATACAATTATCAAACCAGAAGCAAAAACTACTGTTATACCATGTTGCTTTGGTCATGTTCTTCTGGGACATAGTTTAAACTGATTCTCCTATTTCTGTCTTCCAAAATGTGACATTTTTTTTCTTGTGGTGATGATAGTTTCTGAAAGTAAGTTCCACATGGAGATAGAGAGAGAGGCAGCAAGAGTGTTGGGGGATTCAAATGATCTCATCTATTTTGAGCTTCTCTTCTTCATAGGGTCAACTTCATTGTCACATTGAACTACTGAATTCCACCACCCTCTACATAAATGAAAATAATACACAATCAATCACACATGAACAAAACAGAAAATGTTTAACAATGAACCTTGCTAATAATATAAGATAGATTTCAAGCTACTATGGATATACTTCTCATCAGAATTTAAAGGATTCAAAAAAAAATAATAATAACTGAATGAGAATGACACATTCAAAACAAGTGCCATTGTTGCTTGAAACACTCTTCTGGACAATATTTATAGTAGAAACTATTTCTTTAATACCCTTGCCTTATCCACTACCATTGGAAGCACCCTGCAAAAGTAAAGGATCAATAAGTTTTTCAGCAAACAGTTTTTAATTAATCCAAGTTTATATACCGTATTTAAATCCATCAATGAATACCTTGCACTTGTCATAAGTTTCTCCAACTATTTCATCCATCAGCTGTTTTCTGGTTTATTTTGCTACTTTTGACTGAATCATTATTCATTCATATACAGAAAAGCTTTTGTTCTTTGTGTGTGACAGCAATGATGATACTCCCTGAGAATTGTGGTTCAGAGTAGTTCCATTCCATCACAGAGAATGGGAAGTTACAAAAAGAATTTAGTATCACTCAATTGTATCTTACAATCACAATGACAAAATTCAAACCGAAACAAAAATAATAATAACAGCAACAGAACATACCCAGAACTGAATATAAACAAAACTTCTTCTCTTTCTTTCCCATAACATGTGATGATAGGTCCTACAAACACATACCACAAAACATAACTCATACATAACCGAATCCATTATCTAATTAAAAAAACAGGTCAAACCTAATAAAACTATAAGTTTAATGAAACAGATGAACTTCACACCTCAACTAAATGTTACATTAAAAACCAACAGGGTTCAAAAATACCTCAAGATTGTGAAATTAGGAAACAAATAATGGAATCAGACTGGCAAAAAGAAACCTTCTGTCCACTGTCGCCATCGCCTGCGCAGGAGCAGGAGTAAGGTGTCGATTAGGGTGAACGCAGAGATGCCGATGAATACACTACTGTACGGGAAAACCAAGAAGAACATCATTCTTGATTTCTCTGCTTTGTTTCGAGATTCCGGACGTTTGATTTGCTGAGATCAGATGAAAGAATATTTCAAGTGTTCGTTTCAGAGGGGTTGATATTGGGGGTGAGAGGTTTCGGTTTCAAAAACAAAGACGGAAGAGGAGAAGCTAAAGCATTCGATCAAGAAGGGAAGCAACAGGCTAGGTGGGATGAGATGAACAGTGCAATTGATCATCGGATGGAAATTGGGAGTAGGGATAATGTGGGTTTGTAGAATAGATAACTGAAGAAAAAAAATGGAGAACATGAGAAGGAGAACGGCCATGAAGCTTGCTGTCCAACATCATCGTCTTCTTCCCGCTATCACCAATTTCTTGAAATCAATCTATTTTATTCTTGGAGGAAAACGATTAAGATCCTGTTAATGTCAGGAAAACAAGTGTTCGGAGGAACCACATTGGAAAAGTTGATGCAAAGAGGAAAACGATTAAGCTTGCTCCACTTTGTAAGTTTGTATTTGTAGTCAAATGAACCGTTTGGGAGTAACCGTGTGAAGATCATGAGTTTAATTAGAATCTTATGCATTAATTAATTGCTTATTATTAACCGATCACATTGGATTTTTTGGATTATTTTTTATTTACCAATATTTTTTTGTTTTTAATAATAGTTTTTACCTTTTTTTATTTTGATCGGGTATTTTATTAATTTATGAAGGTATTTTAAATTAATAATTACCTTCTAATTTATTTTTTATTAATAAAAAAACAACTATTGAAAACTAATATTTTTGATTGGTTAAAAATTTATATAGGTATTGAAAAGTAATATTTTTGATTGGTTAAATTTTTATATAGTAAATAACAGTCGATTAGGAAATAAGGTTATGCATGAAAATTATAATTATAATCAAACTTTCGAATTTTTTAAATAAAATTTTTTATGGTTTTATATATTTTAACATTTATCGTTTCTATTGACGATATTCATTTTCGTTGGTAATTTATATCAAGTAATAATCATATTTAGCATCCAAGACTTATATAATCATTTGGTGTCTTTTTTTTTTTTGCAACTTTAATTTGTATGTCGGTTGAAATTAGTGTGTTTTAATTTTTTTTAAAAATTTGTACTTAAACTTTTATTCGAATTTGATACATAAATATTAAAATTTAAAAGTGTTACTATATTGCGGAAAATGTTGTTTGGGCTTGTGTAGGTTCACATTTTCCTTCATAAAAAGGTGTGGGGACAAGATTCATGAAGATATTTTCATGGTTGTTCTTTAATTTGAAGAGTATTTTGTTTTAAACATGGTAGCAATGCATCCTTTATCAAATTGATTCCTAAATGCAATGACCCTCTTAACATCTCGGATTTCCATCCTATAAACCTTATTGGGAGTGTTAGTTAAATTATATCTAAATGCCTTGCAGAACGACTTAAAAATGCCATGCCTTTGATTATCAGTAAGGCGCAATCAACTTTCGTCAATGGTAGAAGCATTATTGACGGACCTCTGATGGTGATGGTCACCGGGGCTGTTACTTGGTCTAAGAAAAAAGAAAATGTTGATTTTGAGAAGGCGTTTGATACTCTAAACTGGAACTACTTAGACGATGTGAAAAGACAAATGGGGTTTGGTGAGAAACGGAGAAAATGGGTTCTCGCTTATATATCTTCTTCAAGAGTCTTTTGTTAACGAGGCTGCCACACAAAAATTCAAACTTCAAAAAGGAGTGCACCAAGGCAACCCGCTTTCCCCCTTCCGATTTATTATTGCTACAGAAGGGCTTCGAGTTGCTTTAGCATAAGCTTTGGACAAAGGTCTTTACAAAGGCGTGAACCTTACCAACAATGGTCCCAATCTTTCAATCTTCCGGTTTGCGGACGATACTCTTTTCCTTGGAGAATGGAATATATCAAACGCCTTAAAACTTATGAGGCTTTTGGGATGCTTTCATATTTGTTTTGGTATAAAGATCAACATTGCCAAGTGTAGAGTTATGGGTATTGGCATGCATAAGGAAAAGATGATGAATATGGCTGCCTTTTTAGGGTGTGAGGAAGGCATTTTCCCTTTCTATTACCTTGGAATGTTGGTTGGTGGATATATGTCGAGAATGTTAAGTCGGAGAGCTCTAATTGAAAATTTTTACAATAAACTCTCAAATTGGAAAGCATATAATATAAACACATATACTGCATACTGCATCAGACCATAGTCCGGAACACATAACTCATATGTATCACAAAGACACGAAGCATAATGAACTACTGCATCGGACTGGAGTCCGAAACTACTGCTAACTAAACGGGCCGGCATTGTGGCCGTAGACCCGTTCCTACTGGAAGGAAACTCACCTCACACTGCTGAAGTCCCGTAGACACAATCCCATACTGCTGAAGTCCCGCAGACTCAACCCCAACTGCTGGATGACAGATTCACGAACTGTCAACACCAAAATAACACCCAATTAATAATTGGGTTCTAACACATAACTATAAATACATGTTTTGGATAATTACTACATTACCCCTAGCTTGGCTTACCCAAGCCCAAGGCTCAATCCATAGGCCTAAAGTCAACTAGGGATCAAAGCCCAACATATGGCCCAACTTTCCAAATTGGGCCCAAACCTCTACATGGACTTCCCTTAAGGCCTAATTTTTCAATCCAGTCCAACATGTCTCATTCTAAGTGCCCAATATCATACAACTATCTAGGCCCAAACTATGGCCCAATTTTCCAAATTGGGCCCAATCCTTCATATGGACCTTACCCTAAAGCCCAACTAATTACTCTAGTCCATTTGATTATTCTTGGATGGCCCAACACAAAGCCCAAGTGAAATTAGAGTTTCACATAAAATGAAAATTAGGGTTAAGTGTTTCTTACTTAACCCATTAACGGCTTAACCCACTAAGGACTTAATTCATTAAGTCCATGATTGCTTAGATTAATTTATGCTAATGATTATTATTGAATATTTCACTTATTAAATAATTCTCGTGTGTGTCCTAATAATTTCTCAAATATTAGTATTTTCTCAATTAGCCCATTAAGGACTTAATCCATTTAGTCCTTTACTCTACTAGATAAGCTATATGAAATAGTTATCAACACACAATCCAATCCCAATGGCCCAAAAATTGGTCCAATAAGTCTAAGGCCCAAATACTCATAATTAGGGTTTTCCACCCAAACATGGCCTAATAGGCCCAAATCTAGTCCATAAGCCCATTAGGGGTTTGATAGGTGCATTAGCACTTGCTTGAGGGGTACCACCCACTACCACCTCGGGTAGTGGTGGTCAATGGCGACACACGGCGGCGGGCACCACCTTACAATGGTGGTTTTCCATTTCTTTTCATTATTCTTTTGGCAATTACAGTTACAATGCTTTAATCAAAATAAACACACACACACACACACCACTAACTAACTAACTAACATACACACACACACAACCACACCATGGTGGTCGGCGGCGGCTCGTGGCGGCAGCCACCATGGCTGGCGGCCATGGTGGGCATCTATTCCATTTTCAGGCCATTAACACCTTCTACAACAAAACACACACACACACACACACCTACAAGATTTCTATTTGCACAAAGGTCCAGCCACCCCCCCTCCCTTGGTGGCTCACGGTGACGGCAACAGCACTAAGAAGGCAACAACAGCGGCGGTTGCAATGCTAGCCCCCACCCAATGGTGGTGGCAGTGGTCTTTCTTGTCCCTCAGTCGAGCAAACGAACAGCAACCACAGCCCATCCCCCCATGCTTGCAACCCACGAGCTGAAACACACCAAAACTGCCTCTTCGGATTAGCAAATGACGACGAGCAAGGGGTGGAGAAGAAGAATTAAGCGACGGCGGCGCTTCGATGGTCACGAAAACGAACGCAACAACGGAGCTTCCGGTGTCGAAGAAGTGAAGGCAGCAAGGTTGTGCATGTCGGTGCTCAACAACGAAAAAGGTGGGATGGCGGCGGTCGACTCGGACTCGTCAGATCGAAAAACGCACGAAGAAATGGAGTGGCGGCAATGTAACAGTGGGACGATGGTGCTCCGATCCCAACTTCTCTTCTCGTCAGAATGATAACAGCGACCACAGTAAGGCGGCACGGCTGTGGTGGCGGATGAACTAAGCTGTCGGATTCGGTGTAGCAACCGACGGCTGATGAGGGTTCCATGGTGATGGCGGCTACCGGTAGTGAAGATGGAGAGGGTGACGGCTGGTTTTCAATTAGGGTTAGGTCACAATGAGTCATCGCAATGCATATATACGCGGCCTTTTAGAAATTTCCCCATAATTACATTTTCATCCCCTCATTCTCTTATTCCTTTCAATCTAAGTCCATAAGTTACCTTTTTAACTCCATCCCCTAAATTCTTTACAAATCAACTTCGGAATTTACCAATTAGCCCCATGACCTCAAAAATCTTCTCCAAAGAAGTCCCAAAAATTACCCTTTAGTCCCTTCCTTCATAAATACTTAAAAAACTAATCTGAAACTTACACTTTTAACCCTCAACTTCTAAAATTCTTCTCATTTTAGTCCGGGACATACAATTATTAACTTATTTAAATAAACGGGGCGTTACATTTTGGTGGATACAAAGTATAGTTAGGAAAGATAGATTTTTGTCATGTGATAGCTGGAACATCAATCCCAATTTGCCTTTAATTTCCATTAACATCTTGCTTGTGTTGCTTTAATAAATTTCTTGTTTTTCAAAAAAAAAAGTGTTACTATATTGTACTTATTTCACCCATGAAAGTGTCATGTAGATGTGGAGAAATGGAATAAAGGGAAGGTAGTATGTTCGGATTTGGGTGTTCTAGATTTTGTGATAGAACCAAAAGTATCCCTAAGTGTCATGTAGTGCCTTACAACCCCACATGAAAACTTAGTCCTCATTTGGTTTAGGATTTGTCACACCAAGGTGTGTTCAAGATTATTTTGTAAAATTAAGTACATGTCATTGTTGAGTCTATGTTTTTTTATTCGGCTT